TGGACTGGGGTTGCTCGGATGGGACCTGACTCTTTGAATCTGCTTCCCTATGTCTTTTCTCCCAGGTTGTTTGGTCGACACTTACATAGTGCACTTTCTAACTTCTATAGCGAAAAGAAATTTGTTCATGCTGCAGGGATAAACTGGGCCAATCCAGTATGTTAACATTCTCTTAGATCCTGTGCATTCCCATGTTTTTTCTGAAGTATTCCACTTAAAATCGTCAGTAGTCAAATCCGTGGTAATTATCTTATGATGGCATTTACCTTCCAGTCACCACTTGACTGTCGGTGGAGGGGACTGACATGGTCCTTCAAACCAATTGAGGGAAATGTTATTCTTATAGGATGTAGATTTGCTTTCCCCCCATGTTGAGTTCAGCCCAATATTTTAAAATGAGTTTGCAGCAAAAAATGACGGCTGACAAGAGAAAAGTTGTCTTAGAATAGGAGTGGTGTTCTGTGGGCTGCCCGGGTGGACAGCATTTGAGGTGCTTTCAAGGTAAGAAGTAATGACGTTGCTACGAAATATTTCAGCTGCCGAGAATGGTGGTACTTTGCCCTGAATGCTAACCTGCACGAGATCAGAGAGCAGAGGAAGCGCTGCACCTGGGACTTCCTGTTGTGCCGCGCCCGCGACGCCGTGTCCTACACCGACAAGTACTTCAGCAAACTGAAAGGAGGCCTGCTGTCCGCAGACGACACGGTGAGCAGCTGTTGCCTTGTGTTTCTTGTCATCAGAGGGTAAGAATGCTGTTCTCTCAAAGGCTGACGAAAATGGAATCTCTGAAGGAATCAAGTCCCTTGCTACAGAATTGCATTTCACGGGATAGAGTGGGTCTTACTAGGGTGAGAGCTTGTTGGAAGGCCATGGCCTCGCCTCGACCAGAAGCGTCCTACACCTGCTGCTTGAGGAGAGCGGGCCACGGGCTGTAAGGAGGTAAAGAGGCTGTGGTCCAGCCGCGCCTTCCTGCCCCCTCCCCACGCCCATCCCCTTCTCCCTTGTGCTCTGTGCAGGGCTCACAGAGACTCTTCAGCTAGTCACCTGTCTCTCCTCAAAGCCCATTCCTCGTCACTGATTTTGTTCTCTGCGTCTATAGCTCATGTCTGTAGGCTTTGGCCTAAACTTTCCCTAAGCCCAATTGATTTGCTTGAGGTTTTGAGGTAGAAGCTGGGCAGAGGGGATGAAGTAGGTGGTGAAGGTCAGTTTTTCTTGCTAATTGTAGGGTTAGAGCCTCTTAGAACCATCAGGCCTGGAGTGCTGGCCTGGATCCCAGCCTGCTCTAGTACCTCTCCTCTTCTCCTAGGAGAGGGAGTGGGGATTGCTGATTGCTTGGCTCCTGGATTTGTTTCCGTTTTGTGAGCATCAATTTTTGCAAAGCGATTTAGACTGTTTCTAATATTTCTTCTCAGGTGTTATCTCTTAATTAACTTTCTTTAGTAAACCCTTCCAAGCAAAAAGGAATCTTACTTTCCCTTTAGCACCTGTCTTTACTCAGGCTGCTCTAACAAAATGCTATAGCCTGGACTTAAAAAACCAGCCATTTATTTCTCCCAGTCTGGAGGCTGGGAAGTTCAGGATCCAGGTGTGTCAGCTTGGCCGGGTTCTGGTGAGATTCCTCCTCCTGGCTGCCTTCTTACTGTGTGTGCACATGGCCTTTTCTTGGTGGAGGGAGAAATCTGTCCCCTTTCTCTTAGAAGGGCACTAATCCCATCATGAAATCCCACCCTCACGACCTCATCCAACCTAATTACTTTCCAAGGTCCTATCTCCAAATCCCATAACATTGGAGGTTAAAGCTTCAGCATTTGAACTGAGCGGGGCACAAACATTCCTCCCATGAGAGCATCCCACGGTGTGGCAACCACTCAGTACCGAATCCCTAGGCGTTCTCACCTCTCCTGCTGGCACCCTGAGGCATGACCTACTCACTTTTTCACCAGTGTCAGGCCTGGTTACTGACATGGGAAACTTCTGGAAATGATGGGGTCAACCAGACATTTTTTTGTTGTAAATTATGTGCAACACACATAATTTCCTTTTCCTAATGTTAGGGTATAAGAACAGTTTAGGACAGCGAATTCTGTCTTTTGCATATTTGCATGTAGCTGGCTGCTCTTGGTCTTTCCTAACTAGCATGAAACAAATTTAAATGCCTACTTCCTTGCAAATGGACATGTGAAACAAAGGAGCTAGAGGCCTGCACACTTCCTGTGTAAACGTGATCCTGAGTTTCCTCATTGAAGTGGGAAGAAGAATAACTAGTCACCTTCCTCTGTAGTTACTGTTGGTCTCAGGGACCAAGTACGGTTAGGGTTATGTGGAAGAGATGTTTAAACCGGAAGCATAGCAACCATCGACCTAGCTATTTGTCGTCACTGTTTCCTGGCCTTCAGTGGAGATGTTGGGGACCGGAGAGGTTCCATCACAGTCCTTGCAGTGAGTGGTGTGCGAGAGTGTCCAGTTCTCTGGAGCTATAACACCTGTTCAGTTTGTTTGTTTTTGTTTTCACCCCAACAGGAGGAAATGTGTCGGATTGAAGAGGAACAGAGCTTTGAGGAATTGAAGATTTTGCGTGAGCTGGTGCACGAACGATTTCACAAGCAAGAGGAGCTGGCAGAGGTAAGGAGCCCTCTGTGAGGAGACGTGCTCAGCCCCAGCACTCTGAGCGCTTCCCCTTGTGTGTGCTTATCCTTGGGGGCGAGGGGTGGGCAGCCACAGCTGGTTCTGTCTGTGGGTCCTCATGTTGCTCATTGTTGATTGGCACAGAGCCTGCGAGAGCCTCAGTTTGATTCTCCAGGAGACTGTCCTGGAGACCCAGGCAGCGGTGCGGGCAGTGGGATGCTGCAGTACCTTCAGTCCTGGTTTCCTGGCTGGGGTGGCTGGTCTGGGAAGCCAGTCGAGGGACTGTCAGCAGAGCAGCATGAGCAGTGGACTCCTGAAGAGATCCTGGGTAAGGCGGCTCCTTCCCCTTAGCCCCTGGGTGGCGGTGAAGGAGATGGTGGGTTCATAATAATTTGTCTGCTACTTTTGAAACAATCCATGATATTTTCAAGCAAACAAAAAGAAGAGATTTGTAAAACTGTTTTTGTCTCATGTTCATAGAGGCAGAGCGAGGCAGTTTTGGGAGGCACTTCATTTGCAACTCTGCTACTAAATTTGAATATTAGCACCTTGTCAGGTAGATCTTAGTGACAGGGATGGTAAGAGAACTAAATGTGAGCAAGTTCAGAAATTTTAAACTGACGCTCCAATCCCAGTCCAGAGCCACTCTTCAGACCCACAACGCCCAGTATGGTTTCCATAGCCACATATGACCTTTTAAACTCTAATTAATTAAAATTAAATAAAACAAAACATTGGCTTTCTCAGTCACACTAGCCACATTAGCCACACGTGCCAGGTGTGCCCACGGCCCTGGACAGTGCAGGTGGAGAATGTTTCACTATGTTGGGCAGCACGGCTTTCTCCTGTACTTGCCTGTGAACCTGAACGCCCTCCTGGTTGGGAATAAGTTAGAGCCCTGATGAAGCAGTTGGGTCGTTTTAAATTAGTGAAGAAAAACAGTCACCCACAACTCTGGAGTTCTTTCCAAAGACAGGGACAGTGGATACACAATGTCATCATGACTGACCAGTGTGCCTGGTTTTGCTTCGGAAGTTTTCCCATGTATTTTCTTAACGTCGTTTCTTCCTCGTGGGCAGGCACCGAGGACTTTTTTGACCCCGCTGCGGACGCCTCCTGCATGAACACGTACACCAGGCGGGACCACGTCTTCGCCAAGCTGAACTTGCAGTTGCAGCGGGGCACCGTGACTCTGTCGCACCAGGAGCCAGGCACTCCTCAGACCCAGGAAAGTGCTTTCATGCAGCTTGAGTTTTCAGGTACTGCCCCAGAACCCCCGGCTGGTGTTCATCTCTCAGGGTGCCCGTGTCCACGCGAATCTCATTATTTGAGTAGTTACGTTCTGGAAAGTCACCTCGATCATTGTCCCCAGCGGGAAGCACACAGTTAGGTGCCTGGGAGCCTCTGGCTGTAACACCCATTGACCGATCAGTACAGAACCTTGTCTTACCTGTGATGCGTTTAAAGACACCTTATCTAATATATACTGTTGATTCATTAATGCTGAACTCACAGCCAACAGTAGTATAACGCCTGCCTGAGTGAAGCTTATCTAACAGAGATTTTTCTCTGTAAGACACACCACAGCCTTTTTGCGCTCAGGGACACTAGACAGCACTTCAGCACTATGTGTGGGGGCCATTGTGAGCAGTGAAATCAACAAAAAGCAGGAAAAGGCAAAAAAACCTGGCACTTAATGGACCCTGAGAAGGGCACAGTGTATAGTGTGAGAGCTGGAACAAGAAGGCAGAGCGTGCTTTGTTCAGTCTCAGCTGGGAACACACATTTTTTGCTGCCCTGCCCATGTCCTCAAAAGCACCATGAGCATTGGTTTGGGGGCGACAAATACATTTTAGTGAATAGACACACTCGCAAATACAGAATTGGCCAATGATGAAGATCAGCTGTGTTTGACTTCTTGTGACTTTGAATTATAGTTGTATAAATAAATACAGAGGTTGGTTTTTACATCTCACAAATATTTCATTTCATAAAATAGTCACTTACCTGAAGTTTCTAGTATAACTTAGAGGCAAATGACCCCATGACCCCCCCCCCACCCCCTCCCAAAATAAGAGCCAGTTTGTTTGACTTTATAATCTTGAGAGTCAGGATTTTATAAATGTAATATGGACTAGCCCAGCGGTTCTCAACCTGTGGGTCGCAACCCTTTCACAGGGGTCACCTAAGACCATCGGAAAACATATATATAATTACATATTGTTTTTGTGATTAATCGCTATGCTTTAATTATATTCAATTGTAACAATGAAAATACATCCTGCATATCAGATATTTACATTACGATTCATAACAGTAGCAAAATTATAGTTATGAAGTAGCAACGAAAATAATTTTATGGTTAGGCGTCACCACAACATGAGGAACTGTATTAAAGGGTCGTGGCATTAGGAAGGTTGAGAACCACTGGACTAGCCGATTGCTTGAATTTAATTGTAAAGTGCTCTATTTAAAATTTGTTCTGCTATGAAGTGTCTGATATTCCTTATATATTTGTATAGGTGGATTTATACACATAGATGCATAGATAAACAAATAGGGTTTTTTTTTTTCCGATTTCAAGGCAAAATAGTTCATGATATCTAATAGCCCTCTGTAAGATATTATACCTAATGCTTATAAAACACTTTAGGCTGTCATGGCGTAGTATCAACTCTTATATTTATTTTTTTATAGATGTAAAGCTTTTGGCAGAATCCCTTCCTCGAAGAAATTCTTCCTTGCTTCTAGTCCGGTTGGGTGGCCTGTTTCTTCGAGACCTGGCCACAGAAGGAACGATGTTTCCTCTTCTGGTCTTCCCTAATCCAGTACGTACAGCGGTGGGATGGCGAGTCCATCTGGGTCTGTTTTAGGCAAGCAGTAGTTAATAGTAACTTGATTCACTTTGACATTTGATCATCTTGAGACAGATGGCCAATTAAAGACAATCTGGATTTAGATAAGTTATTTATTTATTTTTATTTATCTAAGAGAGAGAGAGAGAGAAACATCTATGTGAGAGATATTGATTGCCTGTCTCCCACATGTACCCTGACTGGGACTGGGCATCAAACCTGCAACCCAGGTACGTGCCCTTGACTGGGAGTTGAACCCGAGATCCTTTGGTGTGCGGGCTGAAGCTCTAAACATTGAGCACTCTGGCTAGGGCTAGATAAGTTTTTAACATTTGTTAGAGAGCAAATGTTGGTGGGATTTATGGCAAGGCCCTCTTCCTCCCCTGTGTTGTAGCAAACATGGAATAGTTTGCTCTGATTTGGAAGAAAATGCCATTAGCACCGCTGTTTTCTGCATTTCAGGGTTAATGTGTGAGTTTCCTCTGTGTGTGACAGACCTTTGTAAGCATCCTGACTCTTAGTCACTTGATAGGACCTATTATTTTTTAGAGTTCCAAGAAAAACCACCTCAATTTCCCTATATATGCTAATTTTTACATAGAATATTATTTATTAGTTAGATCTTCAGTCTTAACAAATTGTCCAAGATATGGTCAGAATAATTGAATAAATTTAGCCACTTACTCTGCCCATGATATTTTTTGTCGGGGAGTGTGTGGACTTGTGGAGAGAGTGGGAGTGCAGAGTGAGAGTTTGAACAGCTTACACGGTTAGTATTCCTTATTTAGCAATCATTCATTAAATGCTCAGAATGCCAAGTAGCATTGTCAATGCAGAAGAAAATATGTGTTTTCACTAGGTTGGGAAAAAGGCACACACTAGAGGGATCGTTCTGCAAGTCATCTGTGATCTGATGTCAGATGAGTTTTGATTTGATTGTGCTCGGTGAGAGCGATGCCAAAGCATGTGTGCCCTCTCTCGCTGACATTTATGCATTTTGTGTGTGTTAATAGCAAAAAGAAGTTGGCAGAGTTTCACAGTCTTTTGGTCTCCAAACAACATCTGCAGACAGAAGTGATCACTACCCTGGTAATTTGTAATATGTTCTTAAAACTAATCCTGGAAAATACGATGATTCCAGATCAGTAGTCTTGGTTACCCGTAAAAGAGGGGGCGTGTCCTGTTGTGTGGCCTGTGCTTTGCTGTGTGGAGCCCTGTTTGACTTGGAGGCAGCCTGGTGCTCCCTGGGGCAGCCTCCCAGGTCTTTAGGGTTCTTGGTTTCCATAATGAGAGCAAATGCAACCACCTTTCTTGAGGAGTCTTCTCATAATTAAGGGTCAATCCTTATTAAGGGTTATAAAATGTGTAAGTGTGAACTAATTGGAAAATAATTTAGGAGGTGTCTTTTTTTTTCCGAATGCCTCCTGGGTCTGTTAAGCATCGGGTGGCTGATTTTGCCGTGTTCCGTTTTCTCACTCTGGTTCTTTCCTCCAGCTGCAGACTCAGAGGCCCCAGTGTTTGAGATGCTGTACGAAAGAAACCCAGCGCACAGCCATTTCGAGCGGCGGCTGAACGTCAGCACCAGGCCCTTGAACATCGTCTATAATCCCCAGGCTATTAAAAAAGTAGCTGACTTTTTCTACAAGGGAAAGGTTCATACCTCAGGTTAACTCTTTTGTTTGTTTGCTCTAATGTTCCTTTCTCAAGACATCTTTCCTGTCATTTCTGGCGCTCTGGACAAGGCTTATTGCACATTCAGGTGGCCTGTAGTGGTAGAAAAGGCCTTAAATCAATATCCTTAAATATTTTCTTTTTCTTTGCCTCTATTTAGCAAACATTTTTTAATACTTCCCATTCCATTCGGATGGCGGTTTCCTTGGCTACCCAGGATATCTTAGATCACTTGAATTTAGGAGGCATGTCCACGAATTTCCTTCTAGGTGGCAGACAGGATCAGTGTCTGTTTTGCGTGCTTGGTGCAGCATTAAATGCTGCAAAGTTCATCATTGCCCTCTCCCACGTCACTGCCTTCATGTCTTCCTTTGTTTTCTGCAGTAGGTGCAGAAAAGGTACTTTTGTTGAAGGGAAATTGGTAAAACAATATTACTTGGCTGAATGTATCCTCTCCCTCCCTCTTATAATAATTAATGAAGCTGTTTTAGTTTTTGGTTTCTTTTTGAATTCTTTTCATGTAAATACTAGCCATACATGTCTTGGCTTCATTGCTCCTTCACTGATAGAATATAGAAGGCATTTCCCTCTAAATTCCATGTCTTCTTTCTTTTTTAAAAAAACAATATATTTTTATTGATTTCAAAGAGGAAGGGAGAGGGAGAGAGAGAGAAATGTCAACGATGATAGAGAATCATTGGCTGTCTCCTGCACATCCCCTACTGGGGATCGAGCCTGCAACCTGGGCATGTGCCCTTGACCGGAATTGGACCCAGGACCCTCAGTTTGCAGGCTGACGCGCTATCCACTGAACAAAACTGGCTAGGGCCCATTTCCTCTTTCAACATAATGTCAGGCTTTTAAAGTTTTGAAATAAAATAGTTTGGACTCTTTTAGACAATAATTCAAGAAATTCTAGCACCTGATGTACCTTGCCTGCCTTTCTCCTTCGGGTTGTCCCTCACCCATCTGTGCTTCGCTCCTGTTACCCTATATCAGGGGTGGGCAAACTTTTTGACTCGAGGGCCATAATGGGTTCTTAAACTGGAGCGGAGGGCCGGAACAAAAGCATGGATGGAATGTTTGTGTGAACTAATATAAATTCAAAGTAAACATCATTACATAAAAGGGTACGGTCTTTTTTTTTTTTTTTAGTTTTATTCATTTCAAACGGGCCGGATCCGGCCCGCAGGCCGTAGTTTGCCCACAGCTGCCCTATATAGTGCCAGGCCAGGCTGGAGGAAGGAGCTGTTGTCATAGACTGTTTTTTAGTTTTGGTGGAAATTCTTGGTGAGAACAGATGTCGCAGCGCTTTCGTCCACCACGCCATTTGAAGAGTCTTATTCTCCTGTCTGTTTCCAATCTTGCAGGCTTTGGTTATCAGTCTGAACTTGAGTTGAGAGTGGCTGAAGCTGCCCGAAGGCAGTACAACAAACTGAAGATGCAGACCAAGGCAGAAATCCGTCAAACTCTCGATCGTCTGCTAGTGGGTGACTTCATTGTAAGTGGCTATATGTAAACACTCTTGCGGGGCTGGGGAAGGGGCAGGTGTGCGCTCTGTCAAGTTCTTTACCTGTTTTGGATAAGCATGGTAGTATCAATACAATGAAACTATGAAATCCTTATCAGCTAGCAAAAAAAAAAAATCTTAGGTCTTTTACAGTCAGAGTTTAGTGAATTAAAAAATCAAAAATCAAAATGTATGTTTGTGATCAGATCATGTTTCTTCCTTGTACCAAATTTGGAACATTCTCAAGACTCATCTTTGTTCCATTTTCTAGACCTGATATTTTATAAAAATGTTTCACTTAAGAGTACCCCCTTTTCATTTACTGTTACCAGAAGAAAAATAACCAGATTTACCCCTCAGTTTCCACTCCAGGATATGATGGTCACTTTGTGATGCTAAGTGACCAGCTGATGCAAGGATGTCATAGCCAGTGAGAGCCAAAAAACATCAGTCCAGCCAAACTCAGTTTCCTAACGCTAGCATGGAGGTGCACTGCCGAGATGAGGCAGTAGATGGCGCAGTTAGAGTGTGGCTTCTTTTGGACAGTGTAGAGCGTGTTGGGGTGTAAGATGGCAGGACTGTTCTAAGTAAAAGGTTTCAGAGCCTGTGCATAGTGTGGGATGGAAAGTCAGCACTGTTTTCTGTTTCTGTGTGTGTGCTTCAACACAAATTACAGTTAGTGTCCTATTTTCTTAGACAAGGACTTCTTTTTGATAACATACACATTAGCTTTTATTACATACGTGTAATTGAGACCGTTTTAGTTGCAGGGAAGAAGAGGTGACAAATTCATGAGTTCTGTTTTTTTAAAATATGTTTCAAATGTTAAACCTTATGTTTTTCATTAATGTACTCTGGCTTTAAAGTCCATAGTTACTACCGGCTGTCCTATATAATAAAAACCTAATATGCTAAGTGTCGACCGTTTGACCATTCGACCAGTTGCTATGATGTGCACTGATCACAAGGGGGAAGACGCTCCGACTGTTAGGTTAGCTTGCTGCTGGGGTCCAGCCGATTGGGACTGGGTGACGTGGGCCAGACACGCCCTGGAGCCCTCCTAAGGTCCCTCTCCAGCCCCGATCGTGCACTGGTGGGGTCCCTTGGCCTGGCCTGCACCCTCTTGCAATCCAGGACCCCTCAGGGGATGTTGGAGAGCCAGTGTCAGCCTGATCCCCACAGGCCAGGCGGAGGGACCCAACCCGTGCATGTGCACTGGGCCTCTAGTGAATAAATAAAAATATTTGGATTTCTATGTTTAGTTCCATCATTTCTGCAATACTTCATAGTACTAAGTTATATAGATTTAGGAACAAGATCTTTCTTAAGCCATCAGTCATCACAATTAAAGAAAGGCTTGGGCCCTGACTTATAAAGCTGTTCAGTTTCAGCAATGTAGTTAAAAGTTATTTAATTGTAGTTTATTTTATTTTTACAGGAGGACAGTAAACGGTGGACTGTACGACTAGATATTTCTGCCCCTCAAGTGATATTTCCTGATGATTTCAAATTCAAGAATCCTGTGTTAGTTGTTGTGGATCTAGGAAGAATGCTACTGACAAACACCCAAGGTATAGTACGAATGGGAGTACTGAAAACATAACTTGGTAGGTTAATCTGTCTATGCTTAACCAAGTAAAGCTTAAAAAAAGGTTTATTAACATTTTAAAACTCCAAAGTTCATTTGTTACTTTAAAAATAACAGCTTTATTGAGATATATTTTAATATGTATAATTCATTCGTTTTTGGCATATTGCTAGAATTGTGCGTCTGTCACTGTTACCTAATTCCAGAACATTTTCATCCCAAGAAGAAATTTTAAACCCATTAGCAGTCACTCTCCATCACCCCCTCTCCCAGGCCCTGCCAACTACTAATCTTTCTATCTCTGTGGATTTCCCTGTTCTGAAGAAGAGGCGGCAGCGGGGAGAGGGGGGGGGGGGGGCTGGAATGGTTTTGAATTTTAGAGGATGTTTATTAAAGCTGGGGACAAGGAAGGGCTGGGGAAATGAGTCTAGGCTGGTCTGCTCTGGCTCACTAAGAAGTCCAGAGAAAAGGGGGCTTTGGGGACAGGCTCAGGGGGTTTGCCTGGGATGAACTGCCGCTGCCCTTTGCTGCCCTGGTTGCAAGCCTTATGGGGTCCCTTAGCATTTAGGAGGTGCATGTCTTTGGGGAAAGAAATGGGGGCGGGCATGGGTATGCTCCTGAGAGTCAGGGAGTGTGCCTGTTCTGAACAGTTTATAAGAACGGAATTATGCAATAGGTGGCTTTTTATGTCTGGCTTCTTTCACTTAGCGTAGTGTTTTCAGGATTTATCCACATTGTATCATGCATAAGTACTTCATTTCCACTTAATGGCTGAATAATATTCCTTGTATGATGGACATTTGTGTTGTTTCCACTTGTGGCTATTATGAATAATGCTGCTGTGAACGTTTATGGGTGGACTTTTGTGTAGACATTGTTTTCAGTCTCTTGGGTATATTTCAGTATGGAATTGCTGGGTCATATGGTGACTGTTGCCAAATTGTTTCCTAAAATGGCTGCACTGTTTCACTCTCTTACTAGCAGTGTTTTGAGGGCTCCAGTTTCTCTACATCCTCGCCAACACTTGTTATTATCTGTCTTTTGGATTATAGCCATTTATATGGGTGTGACATAGTATCTCATTGTGTTTTTTTAAATATATATATATTTTATTGATTTCAGAGAGGAAGGGAGAGGAAGAGAGAGATAGAAACATCAATGATGAGAGAGAATCATTGATTGGCTGCCTCCTGCACACCCCACACTGGGGGTGGAGCCCACAACCAGGGCATGTGTCCTGACTGGGAATCGAACTGTGACCTCCTGGTTCATAGGTTGATGTTCAACCACTGAGCCATGCCGGCCAGGCCTTTTTAAAATTTATTTTTTTCATTGTGATTTTTATTTGTATTTCTTATGTAACATTTTATATTTTAATGAACATTATTTCTCAGCATTTAATTTTAGGAATAGAGATTTAATCTACTTAGGGATATTTGGGACATATATAAAAAGAGATTACTGGCCCTGGCTGGTGTAGTTCAGTTGGTTGGAACATTGTCCTGTACACTGAAAGGTCGAGGGTTCAATTCCCAATTAGGGCACATACCCAGGTGTGGGTTCGATCCCTGGTTGGGGTGTCTAAGGGAGGCAACCAATTGAGGTTTCTCTCTCACATTGATGTTTCTTTCCTCTTTCTTCCTCCCTCCCTCTCTTTCTAAAATCAGTAAAATCATATCCTTGGGTGAGACTTAAAAATCCTATATAATAAAAGGCTAACATGCAAATTGACTGAACGGCAGAACGATGGGTCGCTATGACGTGCACTGACCACCAGGGGTCAGATGCTCAATGCAGGAGCTGCCCCTGGTGGTCAGTGGGCTTCCACAGGGGGAGTGCTGCTCAGCCAGAAGCCAGGCTCACAGCTAGTGAGCGCAGCAGCAGTGGTGGGAGCCTCTTCCGCCTTTGTGGTAGTCAGACATCCCCCGAGGGCTCCCAGACTGCGAGAGGGCACAGGCTGGGTTGAGGGGCACCCCCCCACCCCCCGAGTGCATGAATTTCATGCACTGGGCCTCAAGTAAATAAATAAAAAATAAAGAGAGACTCCTGGAAGGTAATTTCATGCTATTATAAAATCCCCAATATAGTCATTTTTATCTTGAGATGGGAGGGAAGAAAGAGAGGATTCATGGCATAGGAGAGATTAAGGAAATTAGGTGAGCAAACCCAGTGGTTTTTTTCTTTTTAAATGCTCACCCCTGGACATTTTTTCCATTGATTTCTGGAGAGAGTTGAAGGGAGGGAGGAGGGGGAAGGAGAGAGAAACATTGGCGTGAGAGGGACACATCGATTGGTTGCCTCCCGCATGCATTCCTATCAGGGCTGAGGAACCTGCAACTGAGATATGTGCCCTTGACTGGGAATCAAACCCCTGACCCTTTGTTCCTCGGGCCAACATTCTAACCACTGAGTAACTGGCCAGGGCCCCAGTGGTGTGTTTTTGTAATTGTCTTAACTCTGCTCGGCTGTACAAGAGAATGTGAACACTGGGGCTAGAACATGAAATATTGAGAAATCGCTGATTGCGCAGCACTGATCTAGGTGCTGGGATACTGTGTTGAGTAAGACAGATGAGGCCTCTGTTCTTTTGGAACATTCTAGCGGGGGGAACAAAATGAGCACACAGACAAAAACAGGAAAAAGCAAAGACTTGTGGAGAGTGATGTAAAAAGGGTTGGAGATAGCAGCTCAGGGCAGTGCAGCTCATGGTGGGGACACAGTTTGGGGTAGCAGCTTGCTGGTTTGTGCACCCCGATATGTGTCCCTATGTATACAGCAGGTCTCTATGTTTTCTCATGTTTATATACTTGCTCTTTGCGTTTTGATTTCCAAATAATAGGTAAGTTCACACTGAGAAAAATGGTAAATACAGAATATCAGCTTCAAGTTTTTGTCCATTTATTTTTATTAAATTGGGGTTGGTTGATTCTCTACTTCTCTTGATCATTACCTTAAAGAAAAGAAGGCAAGAGCAGACATAGACTTTGAATCCTCTCTTTTTTACCTGCAGATGACTCTGAGAGGAAGAGTGTGGATGAGTCAGCCTCTGAAGAGAATCAGTTTAGTGATGATGAGTATATGACCCCTCTTGCCACACCTCCTAACACCCCACCCCCTGAGACGAGCAGCAGCAACGAGGAGAAAACACCTCCATTTTCTATCAGCGAAGAGCAGCTCCAAGCACATCTGTTGAGCACAAAGATGTATGAGAGGTACTCCCTGTCGTTTATGGACCTCCAGATCATGGTGGGGCGAGTGAAGGACAATTGGAAGCATGTCCAGGATATCGATGTGGGGCCAACCCACGTGGTCGAGAAATTCAATGTTCACCTACAGTTAGAACGCCGATTGATTTATACTTCAGATCCCAAGTACCCCGGAGCCGTGCTCTCAGGTAACCTGCCTGACTTAAAGATCCACATCAATGAAGATAAAATATCCGCCCTAAAGAATTGCTTCGCTCTCCTCACCATGCCAGAAATGAAGACTTCTGACTCTCAGATCAAAGAGAAGATTTTCCCCCAGGAGGGTCAGCGGGGAACTTTGCAAGACTCTGTCATGAATTTAACCCAGAGCATCGTGATGTTGGAGCAGCACACCCGGGAGGTTCTGGTGGAGTCACAGCTCCTCCTGGCCGAGTTTAAAGTGAACTGTATGCAGCTTGGTGTGGAGAGCAACGGCCAGTACATTTCCGTGCTCAAGGTGTTTGGGACCAACGCTCACTTTGTGAAGAGGCCTTATGATGCCGAAGTCTCCCTAACTGTTCATGGTTTGCTCCTGGTGGACACCATGCAGACATATGGTGCAGATTTTGACCTTTTGATGGCGTCACACAAGAACTTGAGCTTTGATATCCCAACAGGAAGCCTCCGGGCTAGCAGGTCCCAGTCTCCTGTCTCTGGATCCAATGTGGCCCCCTTCACTAATGTTGTCACTGGGAGCGACCCGTCAGCGGCTAGTGTCTCACTTGACAGAGTTCTCACCAAAGAACAGGAGTCCCTCATTAAATTGGAGTATCAGTTTGTGAGTTCAGAGTGCCCATCAATGAATTTGGATAGCACTCTCCAGGTGATTTCATTGCAGGTAAATAATTTGGATATTATTCTAAATCCAGAGACAATTGTGGAGCTGATTGGTTTTCTTCAAAAATCCTTTCCCAAGGAAAAGGATGATTTGAGTCCCCAACCTTTACTGACTGACTTTGAAAGAAGCTTTAGGGAAGAAGAAACTTACCAAGCTACATATGAACAAAACACCGAGGTTGCAGTGGAGATCCACCGACTTAACTTACTGCTCCTCCGGACAGTGGGAATGGCGAATGGAGAGAAATATGGCAGAAAAATTGCGACTGCTAGTATAGGTGGCACCAAAGTCAACGTCTCAATGGGGAGCATGTTTGACATGAATGGTTCTCTCGGTTGTTTGCAGCTTATGGATTTGACACAAGATAATATTAAGAACCAATATGTTGTCAGTATCGGGAATTCCATGGGCTATGAAAATATCGTCAGCGACATCAGTTACTTTGAATCTGTATTTGTCAGAATGGAAGAGGCAACCCTCCATGAAGCGTTGAGTTTCACATTTGTGGAGAAATGGAAGCAGGAATGTTTTCTCAACCTCAAGATGGCTTCCCTGCATTATAACCACTCTGCTAAATTTTTGAAGGAGTTGACGTTGTCCATGGATGAACTGGAGGAGAATTTTCGAAGTATGCTGAAAAGCGCAGCCACCAAAGTCACCACCGTGCTCGCTACCAAGACAGCTGAGTACAGTGAGATGGTGTCACTCTTCGAAACTCCAAGGAAGACGCGGGAATCCTTTAGCTTGGAAGACAATGAGATCTATGGGTTTAGCCCAGCTGCCTCTCATGCTGACACTGTAAAGCTAATCTTGAACATAAACATTGAATCGCCAGTTGTTTCTATCCCTCGGAAGCCCGGGAGCCCAGAGTTGTTGGTAGGACACTTGGGACAGATATTCATCCAAAATTTTGTGGCAGGAGATGATGAATCCAGAAGTGACCGTCTGCAGGTGGAAATCAAAGACATCAAATTGTACTCTTTGAATTGCACCCAGTTGGCAGGCAGAGAGGGTCCTGGGTCTGACATAAGCCGGGCGTCTTATCCTCCCTCTGGGTCTGCCAGTACCAACAGCCAGGAGGAAGCCCATTTCACCCGACATGATTTCTTTGAATCTTTGCATAGAGGTCAAGGTGAGGAGTATTAATCATGTCTCATTTTATTTAAAGGCTAGAGGCCCGACGCATGAAATTGGTGCAAGAGTAGGTCTTCCTTCCCCTGGCTGCCTGCACCAGCTTCTCTCTGGCACCCGGGACCTGGGCTTCCCTCGCAGCTCCGTCTTCCTCTGGATGGTCGTCCGGTCTAATTAGCATATTATGCGTTTATTATTACAGATTCCAAACCCAGCTCATGTATACTTTGTGTAAAGCAACAACAAAAACCTTTTTTTTTGAATTATCCCCAGTTACTATTTAAGAAATCACACTGGACTCTTAATAGAATGCTTCATATTAGGTTGATATGTTTTCAGCTTTTCCATCCAATGCCATATTTGGTGAAATAATAATTTTTTAAAGTGGCCCCCTTTGAAATTGGGTGAGTACTTATATATAGGGATGTTTCAGGAGTGGATTCTGTGAAAAGTACTGTTTAATTTGGTCAAATACATCTGCTTTTTTAATTTCTAAGCTGTAGGTATTTCCTAGTTAAATGTCGTAGTCCAAGGCAGCTAGAGGGATTGACATAATAAGAATCTGAAACTTAGTCTGTGGATGTTATGTCCTCTTTTTAAAAGTGTCCTGCCATCTTTTGTAATGGGTTGGTTCAGGGTTCTAGGAATAATATGCCCAATCTGATATGCTAAAACCAAACAGTTCAATCTGTTGGTCTTGGCATCCTCGGAAATCAGGTAAGCCCTGGAGCCTGGCTTTATTCATTGGTGAAGAAATAATGCCTTTGAGGAATTCTTCCTCTGTGCTTCTCAGATGTTAATTCACTGATTATTTCCATGCTTACCCAACGATTGCTTTCTCTGCTTGTTATACAAGCTGTCACTTAGAACCTTGTATTGTCCCGATTCTGACTTGGGCCCGTTAAGAGGAATCCACCTATGTCTGCAAGCTGGGTAAGGATGAGCAAGTTGGTTTGAAAAATGCCAGCTCAGGGCTATGAGAAGCTTATTGTAAACCCTGGCCTGGATTCATGTTCACCACATTGTATTTTGAAGCAACCAAATGGAGCATGTCATGAAAATATTGTTTCTTTTTGTGTATAAATTGATCTTGTGCCTCTGCTTGCTCTGAGTTTTGATCTTGGGATAGTCATCAAAGTTTGTGTTCAATCATGGACCTCCTGCTCTATTTCCTATATCCTGCTCTTAATTAGCGATAACGCGGTAGGTAATAGTGTTTTCAGACTGTCATTTCCTCTCTCTTATGCCAGCCTTTCACATCCTGAACAACACCACCATTCAATTTAAACTGGAGAAGATCCCTATAGAGAGAGAATCTGAACTGACTTTCTCCCTTAGTCCAGATGACCTGGGAACTTCTAGCATCATGAAGATCGAAGGGAAGTTTGTCAATCCAGTTCAGGTAAATACCTTGTTAATTTTCATGTCCAGACAGTTACAGTCACCTATTTTATATTTAGAATATATATGTTTATATATTTTCATACTATATATAAAGTATTGGAAGGAAAATCTATAAATTCAAGGAGATATCATTAATGCATATCAGTATTGATAACTTGTTCTAGTCAACATGGAGTCCTTTTAGTGTGGTCTTTTATCCCTGGGGAATCAGTCTTATCAGCCGTCTTCTTGTGGAGAAGGGGTGTGTTTTATAGAGGAAGAGGGCAGATCCTGAATTCCATTGCCATTCAGAAACGAGGAAAATTATTGCTTAAAAAGTCAGTGTCTCTTTCCCAGGAGGACATAATTCTTGTCTCACTCTGGCATACTTGGCCCAGCCTATAAAATAATCTGATGATATCTAAGCTGTTGACAGATCCTTTCAGGGGAGAATTAGAATTATTCTTGCCCACTTTGAAATGAAATGGGCCTGGATGGCGATTTCTTATGTGTGTGTGTGTGTGTGTGTGTGTGTGTGTGTGTGTGTGTGTACATACATTTGTCATCCCCTTTCCTTTAAAAGTGTAATTTTTCCTGCTTTCATAGGGATGAGAGAAAAGAGCATAACATTATAAAACAACAAGGACAGGCAGGATCTTAGGACAGTGGATCCTAAGCTTGGGCAGTAAGTGGTCATCAGTCTGTCAGGAGTGCTAACAGAAGGTGTGTACTTTTTCATATCAGTGGTTCTTGAATATAAGTCTTTGGGATTTCTATTTGTTATGTGTGTGTGTGTGTGTGTGTGTGTGTGTGTGTGTGTGTGTGTGTACATACATTTGTCATCCCCTTTCCTTTAAAAGTGTAATTTTTCCTGCTTTCATAGGGATGAGAGAAAAGAGCATAACATTATAAAACAACAAGGACAGGCAGGATCTTAGGACAGTGGATCCTAAGCTTGGGCAGTAAGTGGTCATCAGTCTGTCAGGAGTGCTAACAGAAGGTGTGTACTTTTTCATATCAGTGGTTCTTGAATATAAGTCTTTGGGTGATAGAACTGTCCCCAAAGCTTTTCTCTGCATTTTCATCTTAAATCTAGCACATAATGTTAATTCTATTGAATTATATTGACTTATTTTTATAGTTATTATTGCTTTACTATAGTTTTTGATGATATTCTTTATTATAAATGATTTTAAATTATTATTTAAAATATCTTATTATGAAAAACTTTAAACATACACAAAAGTAGAATATCTAATGAACCTTATGCACCCAAAACTCAGATTTTAAGGCAAATCCCAGACCTCATGCCATTTTTATCTATATTTTTGGAATGTATCTCTACAGACTACATACATTTTTGACACACCTACAATAATGTTATCATGTCTGGTGAAATAAATGAGGATTTCTTAGCATCATTAAATTTTAATCCATTTTTCAAAAATGTCTTTTCACTTTAGGCTTGTTCAAATCAGGGTCCAGACAAGGTCTGCACGTTGCATTTGTGGGTCTCTATTAATTTAGGTTCCCTCTCATTTTTCCCCCCAGGCTATTATTTTGTTGTGAAAACCAGGTCAGTTGCCCTGTAGAATGTCCCACCTTCTGGATTAGCTGTTTGTTTGGTGTGTTATTTAACTTGTCCCCCCACATTTCCTGTAAACTGTAACTTAACTCTACAGATTTTACTGGATTCAGGTTCAATTTTTGTTGTTTTGTTTTGTTTAGGCCAGACACTTCAGAGCTAGTGCCGTGGACTTCATAGTGCATTGTGTCAGGAGACATGTAATGTTTGGTTGTCCCTCAGTGATGCTAAGATTGGTGATTGTGTTCCGGTGGCAGGAACCTCATCCCTTCATTGCAAAATTCTCGTTCATTCATTCATAGAAGAGCTTATTCTACATGGATGAACCGTGATGGGATAAATTATTTAATTAGGGGTTACAAAATGATAACTTTCTAATTTTATCATTTTTATATCTGTTTGGAATTCCTCTGTTAAAAAATTGCTCTTAAGTAAATAAAAAACTTGCTTGAAAGTATTTTAAATGAGAACTTGTAATTAAAAACAAAATAAGGGAGAAAGGAAACATAGGTAGTAATAGATCATTACTATTACTATTAAAGAGCACTCTCTATTTGTTTAGCTGTAAACACAGGTGGTTATGCTGCCTGGTGATGATCAGTGGTTTTAGAACCGTGGATCTTGTTTCTGTGGTACCACAGGGACTTGTAGCAGCATTCCCTTCAGTTTCTGCAGTTGTTCTTGTGTGGTTAGGAAGAGTGATCAGGCCTACAACCAGTTGCACTTATTGAACACTTATTGTATATAGGTTATTCCATGAGGTACTGGGGGAGGCCTTTGAATAGACAGGGTCAGAGAGAGTTAAGGACAGAAAAGAAACAAAGAGAAAGTTCTTGCCATATAACTTCTTTGGAAACCCATAAAAGGCAACTTGGGTAATTTTTGGGCAGTGCAGCTGAGTGCAATTAATGATGGTAACAGGATAACTGATTTTTTTTCTTTGCATACAGGTGGTGTTAGCGAAGCATGTGTATGAGCAGGTTTTACAAACACTGGACAATCTCGTGTATAGTGAAGACCTGAATAAGTTTCCAGTCAGTGCCGCCTCCTCACCTTGCCCTAACTCTCCTCTGCCTTCCCTCAGTACCTGTGGAGAACCTTCCCTTGAAAGGAAGGAGAATGGATTGTTCAGCCACTCCAGCCTTTCTAACTCTTCTCAGAAGTCCTCGTCTGTGAAGGAGGTCAGATCTTTTACCCAGATTCAAGCCAACTTTTGTATATCAGAGCTTCAAGTTCAGCTAAGTGGTGATCTGACCTTGGGGGCCCAGGGGCTTGTGAGCTTGAAGTTTCAGGATTTTGAGGTGGAATTCAATAAAGACCATCCTCAGACCTTATCCATTCAGATTGCCCTGCGTTCTCTGCTGATGGAAGACTTATTGGAGAAAAATCCAGATTCTAAATATAAGAACCTGATGGTGTCTCGGGGAGCGCCTAAGCCGTCAAGTTTAGCACAAAAAGAATATCTCTCTCAGTCTTGCCCTTCGATATCCAATGTGGAGTATCCTGACATGCCTCGCTCGCTGCCTTCCCACATGGAAGAAGCTCCTAATGTCTTCCAGCTGTATCAGAGACCTACCTCGGCGTCCAAGAAGAAGCCAAAGGAAGTCCAAGACCAGGACTGTCCCATGACCCCACCTCCTTCTCCAACAGTAGACGAGCCCAAGACGCTTGCTGGAAAGAGTAAATTTGATGATTCCTTGGTCCACATCAATATATTCTTAGTGGACAAGAAACACCCAGAATTCTCTTCCATGTACAACCGAATTAACCGGAGCGTTGATGTTGATTTTAACTGCTTGGATGTGCTCATCACACTGCAAACTTGGGTCGTGATACTAGATTTTTTTGGAATTGGTTCCACTGCAGACAACCATGCAATGAAGGTACCTACGCCTGAGGACCTTCTACAAAACGTGAAGTCAGAAGCAAATGCCCTGCCAGAGCCTGAACTTCAGGATCCAGTTAACACCAGGCTGGATCTCAAGGTGTCAGCTCCCTTTCACTCCTTGAAGTTCGAAGAATGAATTTTAGTTTGTTTATTGAAATGCGATCATTGTGCATTTACTCTAGAAAATAGATCCATTGGCAGGGGAGCTATATGTATCTGTTACAAAAGGGTAGACAATGGCTTAGAAAAGGTTTGAGTGTAAATCCCATCTGGTGGCAGGGAAAGTAAACGGTTTAAAAAACTTTCTTTGGTTTGTATAATTCAGTGGAATTACTTAGTTCCTCTGAGCCTCAGTTTTCTCATCTTCCATCATCTAATTAAGATAACAGATGTAGCTGGTTTCATAAGACAACAGGACTATAACTGCCCCTCAAAAATAGACTTTTTTAGAATAAGAACTTTAAAAAAATTTTTAATGTAAAGATTTTCAAATATATCACAGAGAGAATCTTCTTACCTAATAATAGACAAGCATGTAAATTGACCATACCTTCGCTACACTTACCAGCCAGTCGGGAGAGTATGCAAATTAACCTAACAAAGATGGCGGTTAATTTGCATACGTAGACTCCAAGCGGTGGAGTGAAGCCTGACAGCCCCGGGGCCGGTGGAGCAGCGAAAGTCTCACGGCCGCAGGGCCGGCTCCAGCTGGAGCCCGGCCAGAGCGAAGGCCTGGGTGCCAGGTGCCAGAGGAAAACCGGTGCCAGCAGCCAAGGGAAAGGAAGGCCTATTGCATGAGTCTCTTTGTGCCACAGGCCTCTAGTCTATATATATAAAAGGCTAATATGCAAAGTGTCCCCTGGGGAGTTTGACCGGGAGACCGGGAATTTGATCGCTTGCTATGACATGCACTGACCACCAGGGGACGGCGTGGAATGAAGGGAGGCCCTGGCCGGCAGCCAGAAGGCCCCTATTGGCCCTGATTGCTGGCCAGACCTGGGGACCCTATCCATACATGAATTTTGTGCAACGGGCCTCTAGTAGTATAATGAATGCCCATGTACCAAAACCTGTGGGAATCATCACATTTACTTTTCTCTTTGCTGAATTATTTAAAGCAGATTCTAGGTATCATTTCATCTCTACAAACTTCAGTCTTCATTCCTGAAAAATATAGACTTTTAAAATATAACTACAATGCATTGTTACATCTAACTACCTTAGCAAGAATTTCTTGGTACTACGTATTCCCTTATTTTCTCAAAAATGCTCATTTACTTGTGCATTGTAGAGGAATGAACGATTTAAGAAGCTTCATGTCTTTCCTTTGAGGTCTACAATACAGTGGAATGCTTTGCTTTTCTGAGCCATAGTTTACTCATCTACAAAATGAGGAGAATTAAAAGGACATTTGAATCTTTTGAATGGAGATTCAAATAAGGTTCACATGTTACAGTTGCTGTCATGTCTCTGAAATCTGTTAATTAAGCCAGTTTTCCTTCTCCTTTATTCCCCCCATGCAGTTGACTTGTAGAAACTGCAGTGTGCTGCAGGGTGTCCCACATCTCAGATTTGCCATTTGATTCTGTTATCTTCTAATTTTAGAAATGGAAGTTAGTTCTAGAGACTTGATCAGATTCAGGTTCGAGTTTTTGGTAAAAACATTTTTTAGGTGGTGCTGAGTGCATCCTATTACTTTACGCCAGGAGGTATAAGACATCTGGTTGTCTCTCTTTTAGTGATGCCCCAATTCATGCTAAGATAGGGGGTTCAGGTGGTGACAGCATAGACAAGCAGCCATAGACAAGACACTGCAGAGCCTGGGTTGTAGATTGCCCCTTTGAGTTCCTATCTTATCAGCTCTCTCCTTAGTCCTTAGATTATGGTTTGACTGGTTGAAGAAAGCTAAAATGAAATTGGCATCAATTTGAAGTTTTACCTTTCTGCTTCTTCCGTGACTTTGTTCTGTTGTTCTGTTAAAGGACACCCTTCCCCGCCCTCCCCCCCTCCTAGTAACATTTGTCTAACTTTGTCTTCTGTGTGCTTAGGTTCATTCACTCTCTCTCGTGCTGAATAAGACCACCAGTGAGCTTGCTAAAGCAAATGTGTCCAAATTAGTGGCACACCTGGAAATGATTGGTAAGTCGGGAAAAATCAAACTTGCAAAATCTGGTAAGAATTTGAACATCTTGCTCACAAATCTAATTGTCCTCACATGCTGAGTAAGGTGTGGAATCAATGGCTTGATTGCGCTTATAGGCCTGGCCATGGTTTATGACATTGATTCTCAGATGCTTCCTTATGGATGAGAATCATCTGCTCATCTTGTTAAAAATGCAGGTGTCTGGCACAGTTACCCCCCTCCCGCCCCCATCTCAAGAATCTGATTTAGTAGGTTGGGATGGGGCCCTGGTGTCTGTGGTTTTAACAAACTCTGTCTGGTGATTATATAATTTTTTTTGGTCTAAACTGGGACATTTTTGAGAGTGAAAGGAGGCATTATTAATGATTACATCTGGGGAACGATTATTCGCTAATTACACCTGGTGTGTAACAGGCTGTTTCTGGGAAAATGGGGCATATGTTCATTCGATCTATTGCAGTAAAGAGGGGGAGTTACCAACAGGGGGTATGATTTTAGGCAGGAGGATACTGTAGCAAACCTGGCATTCTTTTTTTTTTAAACCCTCACCTGAGGATGTGTTTTTACTGATAGGAGAGAGAGAGAGAGAGAGAGAGAGACAGACAGACAGACAGACATTGATGTGAGAGAGAAACATCTATCGGTTGCCCCCTTATGATCAGGGATGAAACCTTTTGGTGTATGGGATGACACTCCAACCAACTGAACCACCCGGCCAGGGCCCTGGCATTCTTTCCAGTGGGACTCTGTAAGTTGCAATCCTTATAGAAAATCTGTGATCAGCTACATCAAATTTTAAATAGTAGGGATCTCTAAAGTGAATAAAAAACTATTCCTTCCTTAAGGACTAGGTAATGAAATATGGTCGACTACAAGGCTCAGATGTTGACCCTGTGGTTAAAAACAAGAATGTCTTTTGGGGGAGGAATAACTGAAATTGAGGTGTTTTTGCCTGGTATAAATCAGTGTCTAAAAGATGCCTAGCAGAGATAGTTCTTTGAAATTGGAGAAGCTTGGGTATTTCTTTGGGGAAATTAAGAATAAAATATTAGTATGTGCTTTTGACTCATTGGGAGCTGAATTGGTCATCTGTATATATAAAAAGCCATCACACGCTGGGCCTCTAGTTTTATATTGCTAATTACGATGATAAAATTTTACAGAAGCAACAGTTCAGCATATTTCTTTTTACTATTCACCCCCTGTTGAGAATGACTCAGTAGAGGTTCACTGCTCAGATGCCTGAGTTTCAGCAACCTTCTTTCTGCCCACCTTCCAGGGGCCTCCCTGCTGCAGTGTCGGAGTCTTTAGTGTCTATCTCATTAATGCTGTTTTTATTTATTTTTTATTAAATCATACCAAAATCCACTTAAGGTTGCTTGAATATCTGACACATGTCTAATACTTCCTTTTTCATTTTTTTTATCCATAGTACAATGAATAGAACTGAGGATATTTCACTAGTTCTAATTAGGAGTCTACTCTCAGAATGGATCATGCTCCTATCTGTAGTTGTAAATGCTTTTCTCTTTAAATTGTGTACACATTTAGTTTTATTTCTTTCCTATTGCAAATGTTCAAGTGTGATGTTGCTGTGTCATTTCAGTCCCCTGCGGACTTTTGCACTGAGATTACTTGAAACGTTGCATAAAACATTTTTTCTGGGTGTGTTGGGATGCAAAAATTTGTTTTTGCCATGTAGTTTGAGTAAATGGTGGGAAGTGTGAGGCATGTGTGTGTCAGTTTTTGTTTCAGACACGTTGAAGGTGTGAGACAAAACAGGGTACATAACGTGTTCTAATCTCACATCCCTAGACGGAGACCTGGCCTTGCAGGGCAGCATCGGGAGCCTGTCTC